CCTCATTTTAAAAGAGAAATACATTTTCAACACGAATTCAAAATAAATGTATAGTATGGGATCATTGGTGACCATTTTTTAGGGCCATACGATTTCCCGCATACTTTGAATGGTGAGAACTACTTACATTTTTTACAAAATGACTTGATCTTTTGGAAGAATTGCCACTAAATTTCAGGCAAAATATGTGGATTATACAAGATGGTGCACCTCCTCATTATATGAGAGAAGTCAGAACATATTTAAATACCAACTTTCCTGAACGCTGAATTGGTCGTGGTAGTCGTTTCCCTTGGCCAGCACATAGCCCAGACTTTAATCCTCTCGATTTTGGCGTATGGGGCGCAATGAAATAACTTGTTTATAAAAGTCCCATAAATACTCGCAACCAACTTTGGGAAGAAATAAATGCAACTGCAGTTTCTTTTGGACCAATCATGTTATTTAATATGAGGCCATCTTTTACGGAACGTCTGGATAAATGCATCGAAGAGAATGGTGGACATATCGAACACTTACTTTGACATAATTAAACTTGGAATGTTAGTTAGTCTAGTTTTTTCTTTTCTTAATATGTGTAAAATTCATTGCTAATTATGATTATTAAACTTATAATTTAACTGCTTTTATTTAATTTATAATTTTTTTTTTTGATGTCAACTCCTACTATTACGTTAATATTCATCCTGTTGATATAAAAACATGATAAGCGTATACGACTTCTACCTTAATATTTCTCGTAATGAATTAAAGAAGAATTATGCAGTCGATTTTTAAAATTCGTTTATCTCGGAAACCGTTAAGTTTAGAGGTTGTTAACAAGTATACATTTTTGTTCTTACAATGCCGTGCCTTTAATATTTTTTCCCAAAAGAGCGCTACCTTGATGGGCAAAAAAGTTTAGCGTACCTTTATGCCACACATGTGGCTTATGAGGCGCCCTCTAAAAGATACCAAATTATGATTTCTCATACCAAAAAACCCCCAGTTAATTTTTTTTTTGTATAAATGTTCAAAAACGTTCAAGTTATTGCGAAAAATAAATTTTGAAATTTCATTTTTAACACCCTGTATCTTTCTTATTATCAATATTTTATTAAGGCAAGTTGGCTCAAATCGTAATATTTTAAAGTCACAAATCTACCATACTTCTATGTACAATTACTTAAGGACCACCCTGTATATTCATTATTAATATACCTACTTCATTTGTTTCTATAAAGCCGTAATTTCGAATCTTTCCAAGCTTCTCTAAAAATCAAAATCTTATCTAATTTTTCATTGGGTATTAATTTTTTTAATAAATGTAGTAAATTTGCACAAAAGTAATTAAAGTATTTCAGTAATGTAGATAATCGCATTGAAAGTATAGTGTTTTTAATAGAACAAATTAATGTTTTTTCTATATACACAGGGTGAATCATAATTGATGTAAAAAATTTAACCGAAACTAATTGATGCCTCCTTACAAAGATACAGAGTGTTGAATTTCACTAAAAAATAGTATTTTCTTAATATTTCCAGAACCTCTTAACACATTGTTTTGAAAGTTGGTGTAGTAAGTGTCACAGCCGTGAGGAACCAGCAGGATGCTAAAAGTGCAATCACCACTATGGTGAACCTTTAAAAAATGTTGCGCCACTGACAAACATTGGAAATAATCTATTTTTTAGATTTAGTTTTCAGTTTACAACAAAAATGCTCCAGTGAAAATAATATGGATGTATAAAAACAATTAATCCAATAATATCTGTAAAATGATGTCTTAAAACAATGCAGGATGTTAATTTGCATTGTAGTCTGATTAAACATCATCTTTCTACTAAATTTGTAACTAGTATGTTAAATATTTTAAACCAAGTTACCTCTCTTCAAATGACAGCGTCCATTGAGGTAGGTACAGTCCTTTGAAAGTGATTCCGTAGACACATATTTAGAGGCCTATATCATAGCAAATGTTGACTTTTTAATAGAAATAATTTAGTTGAATCGTAAAAATCTATCAAAATTGATACAAATTTAACAAAAAAAGATGAAGTTTAATTAATTCGGCAATATCTAACAAGGAACCATTTATACTTGAAAATCATTAGGAATTATAAATTTGTTATTATTTATATTATGTCCCCAGAAATTTTGAACCTAGTATCATGGGCAATTAGTCGGTCACTAGTAACTAAACATTGTGTATAATCAAATTATCATAATTTACCATGGAAAATATTCTGAATAAACAAGAAATATGTTAGAGACGTAATTATTATTGTCAATAAAAACTTTTTGTTACACAATCCGGCTCGAAGGACCAGAAATGTTTGAAAAAAGTATAAATAATGAAAATATTAGGCTCTAGTCAAATAATAAATTAATACTGAAAATGATTTACCTTGGACTTTACCCTTTGATATATTTTTAAATATAATAGACTTAGTGTTATGCCTACGGTATACCAAATATATCGCTTTACCATTTCCAAAAAATAAACAGGATATTGTAAAATATTCAGGGTGTTTTTGAATGGAGTAGCATAAATGATACCAGTTAATCTACATTTCAAAAGAACACGATCTGCAAAAATCGCCTTGGTAAAATGTTCACCCCTGAAGAGATATGGGCCATCAAAGTTTCCAAAAAAACTATGAAAATTGGCTGTAATTTGAAAACCGAACGAGGTACAAATAACAAATTTTTTACAGGTTGTTTACTAATACAGATGCGACTTTTCAACTATTTTTCGAAAATTTTAACACCTCGAAAGGGGTTGAAATAACCACCCCTCAAGCCATTTTTTGCCATAACTTTTATATTTCGTAAAAACTCGATATCCAAAAATACGCATTAGATAAACTGGTTCTTTTAGAAACGTTTACCTCTCTAGCAATTTTCCTTTAAAACTTTTCATTTATTAATAAAAAAATAAAATGTATTACCATTTACCTCACACCGTATATGATTGCAATCAATCAAAGAAAAACTAAGTGTGCTGCTGTCATGCCAGTTGTCACAATTGATTCTTCTGTAAGTTGTCACTGTTATCAGCTAAATACTTTTTGGGTGTAAATTAACAAGAATTATGTCAAATTTTACTAATGATGAATATGTGGACATGCTACAAGTGTATTTTGAATGTCGCAAAAACTGTGCTGCGGCAACAAGAGCGTATAATGACAGATATCCAAATCGTCAAGTTCCCCACAGACAAACTTTTTCGGCGGTAGAACGTAGGTGGATTCCACACAATCTAACGACACTTGTACAATAATTCAATAAAGATAGAACTAATAAAAAAATTAGATAAATTTGGAACGAATACATTGAAGATGAATTTTTCGAGACAAAAGGTCTGAATATGGTTCGGGCTGAGGCAGTACAGTATTGGGGATCACCAAGGCTTGCAAAAAAGGTAACAAAATTTCCAGGGTCGTATTTAAAATGAAGTTGATGATGACAAAACGTTACATATAAAAATTGATTATGCCATTTGATAGAGGGCAGAAAGTTGCCATGAGAAAGTGTTCTTCTTTTTTCAATATCACCTCAAACAAGGCTGAAATGAAACTAAAACGGATTTCCAAAATTTTGTTTTTTTCAAATATTTCGAAAACTAATCATGTTAGCCCTGATTTTTTAGGGGCATAATGTTGGTTCCCTGATTATACAACTTTGCCCCAATTTAAGCTAGTTCGTATATCTTACCATTTCTGAGATCCCTGTAGTAGGAGGCGAATTTGTAACATCCTCTATTTGGTGTCTGCGAAAGGTTGGGAAATCTCGAAGTTGGAAAGCTGGTGGCCAAAATAAGTTGATTGAATCGAATATGCCTTATGTAAATGTTGCTGGCTTCAAAGATGCAGGGTGTTCAATGTTTGAAATATATTTTGAAATTTAATAAATAGGCATACATTGAAACATTTAAGAAAAAATATCTGGAAAGCAGACTTAAATATCGACTAAACAGGAGTCCTTATTTTAGATAGAAAGTGATCCTCTTTCGAAATTAATCGTCGTTTTTACAGCGATTATACAGGGGAAAAAATTCCCGGATTTACCTGGAGTATTACGAGCACCCCCTATGACACCAGTATTAGTTAGAAATTAGTACTGGTTATGCCAAGAATTGTAAAACTGACAATTTTTAATTTGATACTTCAAAAAACTTTCAAAATTATTTAAAAATTTCCAAATAATTTAACTTTCTACGTACACCCTACTCGTATATTTTATTAAAATGGTCAAAATTGTTTAAGACTTCTTTGGCGTCATATTTTAGCCCCTATTTCAAAATCCAAGTTTTACTATATTTATTGAATCACCCTGTGTAAATTATACAATTTTCGAAAATTACACAAACACTTAACGTCGGGTTTTGGTGCTAGAAAATGTTTTATTCAAATTACAACCTCGATCTCTCCACACTCCTTGGCCCTGAAAAGTTTTTAGATTTGCTTTGCATAATACATCTATTAAAAGCATTAAATTATTACTGTGAAGTTAGTTAGGAGGAGGCTCTGGGCACCTTGATGAAGTTTTTCCACATCACCCTTTAATTTTAAGCAAATTATATATAAATATGAAACCCCACTTTCAAGGCCTATTACTTTTAAGGGGTGCAGCTTAATATAAAGGTTATATTTTGGCTTCCCCTACATGCCCCTGCTCTGTGTCGGTTCTTATGCAAAACACCCTGTATATATTTTTTAATTTAACCCAACATTTTGAGAAGGCAATTAATATCTCCTACCTTCTGCGGCCAATGATTACCAAATCTCTGGTCAGAACAAATATTTCACAAATACATATTTCTGCTATTTTACATAGGAAAGCTATTATAGGATATTTAGAATAATGCGCCATCTACCGGAGTACATGATCAGTCACTAAACAATGTGCAACAGTATTCTACAATCACGAACAACTCTACTAACAAATTTCAACAAGTTGAAATAAAACACCACAGATGCCGAGTCTTATTCACTCATAAGTCATAACTTGCGTTCATATTATCGTGTTCTCACTGTTCCAATCAATACCGCAGTGGGTGTGTCAAATTTTTATACTAATTCTCAGTACAGTCTAGTCACTCGTTGTAGCAGAAAACTGTGTTAACATGTCTCAAATGAACTGGCCCGCTATCGGTTGCACTATTTTACCAAATGTTGGGGGGGTAGCTGGTGGAATATTTGCACGCAAAAGCGTAGAAAACTGGTACGCAACGCTAAAAAAGCCGGAATGGAGACCTCCAAACGCTGCATTTGGACCCGTCTGGACTTCCCTTTACTCTAGTATGGGATACGCTTCTTACTTAGTCTACCGTGACGGAGATGGGTTCAATGGTAATTACTGTTTTCTTTTTTTTTTTGAAAATTTTGGTTGTTTCTTAAATTTTTTGTTTTTAATTAATAGCTAGATATATATTATAATTTTCCACATAAAACAAAGTGATTTTCTTTATTTTATTTAGTTACTCTGATTTTTAAAAGTTTTCTAAATATTACTTTATTATTCGAAAACATTTTCGGGACATATTAATTTTTTTTAACAAAAATCGCGACAAAAACACATTTACATGTATTGTAAATTTTAGAATTCATAAAAAAATACGGTGAACCATAAATAAGTAGATTTTAAAGAATGCTGAACGATATCCTGAATTTTTCTTTTAAAATATAAGTAATATGATTTCGCGAAAAATAACCCCTTAAAAAAATTTATAACACCTTGACTATGCAGGCTGTTACAAATTCGCTTCTCACTACAGGGATCTCGGAAAGGGTAAGGCATACGAAGTAGCTTAAATGAGGGCAAAGTTGCGTAATCAGGGGACCAACGTTATGCCTCTAAAAAATTAAGGGAACTTGATTAGTTTTCGAAATATTAGAAAAAAAACGAAATTTTGGAAATCCGTTTTTATTTAATATCAGCCTTGTTTGAGGTGATATTGAAAAAAGAAGAACACTTTCTCATGGCAACTTTTTGCCCTCTATCGAATGGCATCATCAATTTTTATATGTAACGTTCCCCTATACTGTACTGCCTCAGCTCGAACCAGATTCAGGCGTTTTGTCTCTAAAAATTCATCTTCAATATATTAGTTTCAAATTTATCTAATTTTTTTTTAATTTCTGTTTCTTAAATTATCGTACACTAAGTGTCGTTAGACCCTGAGAAATCCACCTAGTTATTTAAACCATTACCATCACACGTTACAATAAAACATATTCGAGTTTTAATCTCCATCACCTAGTCATACATAAGTCATAAGTTGTTGCGTCAAAATTAAAACATTATACAATTTTAATTTCATTATGACAAAGTAATTCTTAAAAATGCATATAAACCAAAACTCCAAATGAATATTGTATTTTAAAAAATTACAGTAAATGTTCAAAAACCTTTCCGTTTTGGCAAATGTTGAAAATGAAGATGAGCATAATATGATCTGAATTTATTATACCTGTCGGTGCAACTGCGAAAAAGCATGTCAGATGTACCTATTTGTATGAATATCCCGACAAAAATTAGATCGAAATTTGTTTGAATTTTGAGCAACCTAGAAATAACTATGAGCACGGGATTAAAAACTCTAATAATGAATTGAAACGTGTGATGGTAATAGTTTAAATAACTAGGTGGATTTCACAGGGTCTAACGACACTTAGAGTGTACGATAATTCAAGAAACATAGAAATCTAAAAAAAAAATAGAAAAAGGAACGAATACATTGAAGATGAATTTTTAGAGGCAAAACGTCTGAATCTGGTTCGAACTGAGTCAGTACAGTATTGGGGGTCATGAAGGCTTGAAAAAATGCAATAAAATTTCGTTCTATATAAAATTTGATTATGCCATTCAATATGGCAAAAAGTTGCCATGAAAAAGTGTTCTTATTTTTTCAATATCATCTCAAACAAGGCTGAAATTAAATAAAAACGGATTTCCAAAATTTCGGTTTTTTTTCAAAAATTTCGAAAATTAATCATGTTAGCCTTGATTTTTTGGAGGCATAATGTTGGTCTCCTGATTACGCAACTTTGCCGCCATTTAAGCTACTTCGTATCTCTTACCGTTTCCGAGATCCCTGTAGTGAGAAGCGAATTTGTAACAGCCTGTGTATAGGATTTGGTTCTATAATAAAATCATCTGTATAAAACACACTAAACTTAGACGGGATATTCTAGAACATTATTTTATTGTCAATTCATTTATGATAATTGTAGTTTTCTGTTTACAAAAACATTCTGGATAATTGAATTTTTAGTCTCCTTTTCTACGCAAAATGTTATACAAACTTGGTAAAACTTGAACTATTAAAGTATATTAAAAATAATAAATAATAATAAATCTATGAAAATAAGGCAAAATTCAAAATGATATGAGCAGCAATAAAAATAATATTAAAGAACCTTTATTTATTAATAAAACTGAAACATGACAAAGTGAAAATTACAAAAATATACGTAAGTTTTTAATCCCCATCGTAATACTTAAAAAATATATTTGATAATGTAATCGTATGAAGTATATATTTGCGTCGGATAGATAAACCCAGATAATTTTTAAAAATCTAGCTCAGATTATGGGTGTTTCGTAATTTGTAAACATCATAAATTAATATATTGCTTATATAAATATTTTAAAGATGAACACAACATCTAAAGTGGTTTTATTCCAGCAACAGGGGCGCCTACTCCGTGGTTGCTCGGGAGTAGGCGCCCACGAAAACTAAATACATAGTACCTAAATAGTGCGTACCGAGCTCCCATGATTAGACATCGCAAAAAGTATCGAGCCCTGACTTCGCACAATAATGAATCAAATATTATATTAGCAGATAGCTAAAGTTATTAATTTAGAATCAGAATATGAATATAATAAAAAAGTTAATGTTAGAGAACCTCAAAAGTAACTCGATTCCTTACACATACACGTGTATGCGTAGGACATTTCGAGCAATTTTTTCTTACGCATACACAGATGTATGCTGGATATTTCAATTGTTAAGCGACTTATCAAATGAGTATGAGCACCCACGGGATTTTCTACAAGCCGGCGCCCCTATCCAGTACCTAATGAAAATATGACTATAATTTAATTGTTATTAATAAAACTTCAATTTCCAATAATTAATTTAATATTTTCCTAACAAATTATATTAATATTGGTAATAAATACTATCTTATAAAGCCACAAATTAAAAAAATGTCATGCTATTTGTTCATATAACATTTTTTATTAGATTTTTTTCCATAATATGACTTCCCATATTCCCTGGAGTAAAAATGAGACAACGTAACTAAACTTACCTCTAACCAAATATCTCTAAAACACACTAAGTTTTACAGTATTTTTCAAATCCGACATGTTGCTTAGGGCTATCGTTTTATAGACAAGAAATCGAACTTTTAGTAATACAATAATAGAACAAGTAGATCCATCCAGGAAGTGACGCAGCGTAATGTTAAACTAACAGCAACTTTCTTTAATTCTTCACATTGAAAGATCACGGAGAACATGTAAACATTAGAAAATGTACCTTTCCTATTTTGTCCAGCAACTTTGTAAAGATATACAATAATTGTGATTAATGCATGTGTTAATAGTTTCCCAAAATCATTCTGCGGGGTGTGATTATATTTATAGAACCGCATGTTATTTTCTGTATGTTCAGTAGGCGTGCAAAATTCAGGAAAAGTAATATAAACATACGAGATACAAATATGCTTTTTTCCCTTATTTTGAATTTATTGTCAATTGTCTTATACCCTGAAGAAACCTTATGTAACTGGTACAGTGAAGAGATATTGTTTCTAACTTGCTTAGATTTTCTAAACACTTAAGGGATAGTTTTAAGGGGTGACTGTTACTGTTTCTTCCTCAACTTGTTTATTTTAATTCCTTTCAAAAAAAATTTTTGACAAATATCGTTTTCTAGATTACTAGGAAAAAATCAGTTTAGTTTTAATAAGTCTAACCGTTTTTGAGAAATGCGTATTTACGTATGAAGGCGGTCTTTTAGAATTTTATAACATCGATTGTATATTAACTAGTGATATTGTGTAAAACAACTACTCCATTGAAATTACAAAAAAAAAACACTGCCCAAAACTGTCCAAAATTTACCGCACGAATGTAAAATTCTGTAAGTAGTTACATATGTTAATTACTTGTAGGTACTCAAAATAAAAGATAGTGGCAAACATTGCTTTTCCTGCAATAACACATTGAAATAAGTAAGCGCCTTGAGCCATAGCATACTTACCTATTTAATTCAATTCATGTATACTTTATGAAGGCTAAGTAATTATAATCGAAAACTTGTACTTTTAACATTATCACTTGTAGGCAAATGAGTAGAGAATGAGAATCACAATACGCAATATAGTTTTGAAATAGAACTACCTACATTTATGCAACTTGTAACACGGCAATGTTTTAAAAATTATGTAGCAATTATTTCCTCTTCCAGATTTAAGAATATTTTTTATAATCTTTTGCATGTTGAAGTTTAAAAAAGTGTCCTAAATATCTTTTGAATAAAGTATATTAGAACGAAATTCTGTACGCAACATCTATGAACAGATATAGGTCTTACAATTAAACATAGATATAAAAGCCACGCTATTGGGAAAAATATTTATCATTTTTGAAATGTAAATACTATTTTGAACATTATTTTTGTTCAAATTAAAATTTACAACCAAACATGAAAAAAATGTATCTAATAATAATAATTTTTGAGGATAATGGGATTTGCATACCTTATATCTACACTACTGGTTTTAGCTGAGATTTGTTTTTTTTTTACATTGACATTAAATACCAGTGTATTCATGTATTGCTCACATAAAGTTCCGAATTAATTTTTTAATTTGTATTTTAAATATACTTTTTTAAACATCGACACTCTGAATCTCAAAAACAAAGGGAAAATGTTCTCTGTTTCTTCTTCTAAAAAAAAACATTGCCTTCGTTGAGCGCGAACGTCAACCTCGTACCATACAACTTATAGCATAGCAAGTGATGCGAATCGAAATCAGTTTGTATTTCGCTTCACTTCGTAGCGTTGTTTACGGCGGTTGTCATGGCAACGAGACGGCCAACAACACGGGAGTAAAATACGGCGTGGGGGAACGAGTGACGTAAAAATTGATGCAGCATCGCCATCGCCCATTGCCTGTCTTTAAACAGTTTATACGATACGGCACCCAGTGCACGATTATAACGGTTCTTTATTAATATTTGTTTTGTATCAATAATTATTGGAGAAATGTTTCCCATGTTTGATCCAGTATGTATTTTATTGGAAAAGCCATTATCCAGATGGAAAATTGAGGACAAAAAGGCTTTTTTAAATTGCGAGAGACCTGTACCGTCTCTCGATGTAGAAAAAAGGGGGCAATTAAAAAACAAAGTGTACGTTTGAAAGTTTCAGAATGAATGGTATTCGGAGTATAAGTGGTTGTGTGGAAGTTTTTATTTAAAAAACTTTTCTGTATGCCGTGTTTAATTGTGGATGTTGTCGGGCGTGTGGAATAAGGAGAGATTTAACAATTTTGGGAACATCACCTGTAAATACCTACTTATCATTAAGTCCACGAGCCGAAGTAATATTTCTATTTTTTATAAAATCTAAATGAAAAGCCTTCTCACGAATGACAGTTTTTCGGTAATATTGCAAATGCAACTAAAAATTTCTAGATTCATTTATAGCCGTTTGACCTTGAAAATTTGAAAATTTTCGCCTACGGCATTGTTTTTTCTTTTTAGTCAATCAATGAATATACTTCACCTATTCTCAATGTCACGAGCCGCCACTGATATAGAGAACAATTTTTATCCCATTTATTAATGGGTTATATTCATGCTTTATAAAGTCTGTCGAAAACAATAAATACCCTGGTAACACAATCGTGTGCAATTATAATACAAGTTGTTTCAGGTTTACTTGAAATAGCCAAATTGTGTCAGATTGTTTTTTGTCTATTGCTGAAATTTATATCGTTTCTTATGCAAGATACTTTTATAAGTATCTAACTTAATACTTGCACCAGACTTAACCAAAAGCACTTGAGTGCATAAGTCAACGTGTTGCAGACTTGCTGCAGAACTGAGACCAAAAAGAAAAATCAAGATGATTGAAGTCCGGACTTCTGGGTGGCCAAGCAAAAATGATTACATGGCCAATCCAGCGATTTGGAAAAACTGAATCTAAATATGCACGCACTAGCCGAGAAAAATGCGGTGGAGCTCCGTCGTGCATGAACCACATGTCTCTTCTTAAATAAAGTAGAACTTCTTCAAGCCGTAGAAACATTTTTGCTTGGCCACCCAGAAGTTAGGACTTCAATCCCCTTAATTTTTCTATTTGGTCTCGAATGAAAGATATAGTTTACAAATAATCTATTGGTTCGCGTGAAGAGTTATGGCAAAGAATACAAATCGCTACCAACGAAGTCAGACTCAATCCCAATATTTTGTTTCAAACTCGAAGATCTCTCAGAAAACGTTGTGTAAAGTGTCAACAGTGGATTCTCCGAACAATTACTTTAAATCATTATTACGTATTTCATTTGTTTTATTGTTAATTGTTGTAATAACATGAAGAAACACTTGGTTTGTTTCGCTTTTAATTTCTCGTATTATCAAAACATAGTGTTCGTTAAATCGATTTTTCTCGAAAACGGATCGAGATAC